TGGCTTGGAAGTTTTATCACTTCCATGGTAACTTTTGTACCCTGAAACATAACGCCTTATTTCGTATTACCGTATCTCTGTGTTACCATATTTCCGTGTTACCACATTTCCGGGTGACCATATTTACGTATTACCATATTTCTCACCCTTAGTTTCTGAAAACCAAGCTCACTTTCATATTCAGCAAATAGCATTTGTAATAAATCAACACAGATCTCACTGAAAAACTTAAGCCTCCTCAAACATTCTTATATATATACTCGACATAATTTTCTTGATATGTTGGTTACCCTGTTCTAACTATTTCCAAATGCCATGTATATGCTTCCAGTTATCTTCAGTGTATTTTATTAGATTTCAATGACTCATTAAAAACCTTTACAAATGGCTTGACGTTTTTAGAGTAATATCTACCTATTTGAGTCACTTAGGGGATTTCTCTAGGTTTAAGTAAATAAAATATACACTATGTACCAAGAGCAATAGGGCACAGTTGCAGTTAGTAATTGGCCCCCTACCACACTGAGCTTGCAAACTTGCATACAGGCGAATCCCATGACGCAATGCTGTTTCAATATGATTTATAAAAGACAGTTGATGCTACAAACAGCCAGTTTAAGCCAAGAAGCCACAAGAAAAGACGCTGATGAATATTCCCCCCAGAACTTAAACAGGTATCATGAACTGTAAGCCATGACACTCATTGTGTGCAGGGAACTTCCTGCTTTTGGACTTTACAGACAGGCAACAGCTCATAATAGCCGTGAAACCAAACTATAGGCCGTTATGATGTCTTAAAAGTCAACATTAATGTGGTGTACAATAGAGAACCATCATGTGGGTCGATGTATCTCATTAATCGTTATTTGCTTTCTATGGACGAGTACATCACAAAGAATCCTTTAGATACGAATTTATCAAACCAACCATGTACTTGAAAACTCTGACGTAGAACTATTCATCAGCTATGAAGTAAATATTAATGAAATTCTATAAAAAAAAGTCAATATGCTTTTCAGTATGAAAATGATTACACCTAGCTAATGCCGTATCCACTAATGGTTTAATGTAACCAACGTTCAAAATCTACGTCGTTAAGCTCAAAACCCCAACTTAAAATGATCACAACGTTCTGAAATGTTTCGAATTGCCGCCTGAAGAATGGATCATAACATTTCTCTAGATTTGGAGTCACTTTGGAAGGAAACTGACGATCTATTCGACCAGATAAGTAACAAAAGTTGATGATGAATGTTGCTAATAGAGTCCAGTCTGGGATTAACGTTAAAAGTGAGTCCACACTCTGATGATGCTGAAGTTCCGGGACGCTTCCAATCAAATATTGCTGTCCCAGCGGTGATGTATTGGCTGTAATGTACCTCCGGCGAATTTGAAAAATGAAAATTAATGTTAGATATAATTTTCTTTACATTAATTAGAAGTAGAGGAAGCATCTTGAAGGAGAGGAAAAGACAGTTGTTGTTGTTTTTGTTGCTAAACTTTATAGTTTTTATAATGTTTGTTTGATGAATTTCGCGCAGGGCGATCTGAGCTAGCGGTCCCTCATTTGGAAACGATAAACTAGAGAGAAAACAGCTAGTCAACACCACCTATCGCCAACTCTTGGGCTATTCTTTATCAATGAAAAGTGAGATTGACCGTCACAATATTAACGGAATGTGGGAACCTGGCCTGAATAGTGTAGTAAAATGAATGTAAAAGTCTGGGCTGAGCATTGTAGTTTAATTCAGTATAGAAATCTAGTCTAACTATTGCAGTTTAATTCAGTATGGAAATCTAGTCTAAGTATTGCAGTTTAATTCAATGTGGAAACCTGGGCTGAATATTGTAGTTGAACTCAGTACGGATATCTAGTCTAAGTATTGTAGTTTAATTCAGTATGGAAATCTAGTCTAACTATTGCAGTTTAACTCAATGTGGAAAGCTGGGCTGAATATTGTAGTTTAACTCAGTACGGAAATCTAGTCTAACTATTGCAGTTTAATTCAGTATGGAAATCTAGTCTAACTATTGCAGTTTAACTCAGTGTGGAAACCTGGGCTGATTATTGTAGTTTAACTCAGTACGGAAATCTAATCTAAGTATTGTAGTTTAACTCAGTATGGAAATCTAGTCTAAGTATTGCAGTTTAACTCAATGTGGAAACCTGGGCTGAATATTGTAGTTTAACTCAGTATGGAAATCTAGTCTAAGTATTCCAGTTTAACTCAATGTAGAAACCTGGCCTGAATAGTGTAGTTTAACTAAATGTGTAAACTTAGACTGAGTATTGCAGTTTAACTCAATTTGGAAACTTAGACTAAGTATTACAGTTTAACTCAATGTGGAAATCTGGGTTGAATATTGTAGTTTAACTGGATATGGAAACCTGGGCTGAGTATGAAACAAAAATTAATAATAAGGATATTTCGAGAAATGAAACATTCGTGAAACTGTAACACTCTATGTGAATATAACCAAATCTTTGAATGATTTTATAATTATAAGATTATA